AAAAACAATTTTTACAATCTAAAAATATTTTCTGCTTTTAAGTAACCTGCAAAGGGTTTATAAGACGTAAAAATGAATCGGTAAATGAATCAATCAAAATTTTTCATTGATTTTGCTAACAATACCATAATCTAAGAAATCTTTGAAAACGATGCTCGGTTTCTTTCTCATGAAAGAATTTTTCGACGAAGCCGGAAAAATGTGTTCATTAAAGAAACTATCTTACTTTAGTCTTTGTAGACCCATAACTGAACAAGGCTCCCCTGGCTTTTTATATGATAACAGTTCGCCTCATAGTTATGCACATTGTGCTAATCTATTGTCACTTCCATAGCAAATGTTCGAATGAGCGCTCCATTCTTTAGTTCCACGCGTTCAGAACTTTACAGGTCGGGCACGCTATTCTACTTCCACGGCGGTGAATCACCCTCATTTCCTCCGTATTCCGAATGTAAAAGGAAAGATCTTTTCAGACAGCATTTCCCTCAAATCTTACAGTTTCTCAAGCACTTCCGCGTGAGTGCTTTCCATGAACACTACATTCAAGTTATGGGTTAATCGTTATCTTTCTTGACCACATAATTTTCACTTTTAACCCATTCTTCTTTTATTCGTATAAAACACTTTATTCAGCAACGATTTATTTTATCAGTAACCCTCATCTTCAGGGGCTCTTGAGCCTTGTATTGGGGGAATTCTACTATTAAAAAAAAAACTATTCCAAATGAAGTTTTAAATCTTAAAAATTCATTTCCATATTCCAAGCGTTTTTCTTCAGCTACATGCAATCGTAACGTCTTAATGAAAAATACCATTCATTCGACTCGCCCTCTTGAAAATGACTGTCAGTTTTCAGTGTTTTATAACAAATCCCAGTAATTATTCTGGATACTGCAAAAGACAATGGTTGGCGGCAATAAATTACATCATTCAACTTTGTGTCTTCTTCCATCCGGTTAGATGCTATTAAAGGTAAATTGTAGTCTTGAAAATATTCCGATTTTAAGCAAATTCCTTCATCTTTCTTTCGTGGCTATATCCATGTAGTACTTTTCCTTCAGCCAATAATAGATACATGAAATCGAGCGAAGAAAACTTGCAAACGATGACGTCAGTGATATCTAGTTTGGTTTGAACTCATTGTTAAAAATTAATATACGCGATAGCAAATCTTCACAAACAAATGAATGTTTCTTCTGAAAGATTCTATTCGCTAAAGCTTTTGTTTCAGTCTGCCAATTTTTTAAGGAATACAGGTAAGTCTAATTCTTTTCCTTCACAGACCCATAAAAATGTAACTTTTTAAAGCCGTTCCATTAGGCCTAATTTCTTCGTATTTCGTGTTTGTTTTATGAGTGTGTGTTTTTTTATAGTATTCGTATAGTAGTGTGAAGTAAAAAAAATAAATAAATAAAACTGTCACGCAAATAGGTAGTCATTGTGTTCATTTTATAAGACGGAGATTATATATATATAATATATATATATATACACACACACATACACACACGGAGTAATGGATTGCGGCTCGGATTGAGGAATCGTAGGGCCGAGTTCAAATTCCAGTCGAATTCATTACATTTACTAACCCTGCTAATACCTTTTGAGAAAGGTATGAATCATTCTCCCCTGAGATATGGATAAAATAGCAGGACAGACTGGGTCCTATAGCCTTGGGTGGCGAAGGGTCTAGGATATTTCTGAATTCAAAGCCCGCGGTGAGTCGTTTGGAGACCTTGTGGCATACTGTGCACCAGTTCTGTGTATTTGGCTCTTCCAAACAGTGTCTGGTTCTACACAAACCTTCACCACTATGATATGTGCGGATAGTCTGGATGTTGGTTCTAAGGACTGAGCTGCTTGACCCTTATACGTCACAAACGACTTGAGAGACCAGTGTGCATATAACATATATTACAATTAGATAAAGGTTATTGTTGAATACAGTGTAGGGTTATATATAGTCTAATATTATGTCCTTTTTCTTATTCTATTAGACATTATTATTAGGTTGGTGAAAAAATAATGACGTAATAATGTCGTTTTTTTTACGTATTTTTTAACGTCAAAAAACGACATTATTACGTGATTATTTTTGCACCAACCTAATAAAAACGTGACAAGCATACGAGATCTGGTCTCAAAAGTAACGGGACAAACATTTTATTTCAATTCCAAACAACAAAGTACATGGTTTCCCCTTCAAAATAACCCCCCTCGAGTCTAATGCACTTTTCCATCATTCTCTGCCATGATTCTATGCACCGCTGGAAGAATTCTTTTTGTATACGGCCTTCTTGATGCCTTCCACGCCTACAAAACGGGTCTCCTCGACGATCCCCTTGAACTTGGGAAAAAGAAAAACGTCACACGGAGCAAGATCAGGGGAATAAGGAGGTCGTTCCAGTACGGCGATATTGTAGGCCATGAACTACCGGATGCTCAGGGCATTGTGAAGAGGTGCATTGTTGTGGTGATCATCTACGATTTTGTCCTGCCACAAAAGGACGTGAAAAAAATGTAATGATTTCAAAAAGCTAAGATTATAGTTATATAATCCCAAGATATCCTGTTAGATGATAAGACAATCCGCTTATAACGCTTTTGCTCATAGCTCACACAGCACACCTAGTCCTGTTACTTTTCATACAAACCTCGTAAAATAAATCCTTGAGTCTAATGAAGACCCATAGTACAACCAACTTGTTTATATATTTATTTTTTTATATGTACACTGTTCCCCAAAAATGTACTCACACTTTAAATCACAATAAATCCAGTGTTCATTGACTTGCAAAGAAGATCGATATCGGATATAAAACATTTTCTTGAGTATAATATGTCCCCATTTTTAATAAGCTAAAAACAGGGAATACGAGGTTTGTTCTTGAAAAGTAGAGGGACTGGTGTCACAAAGAATTTATTCCAATTCCAAGCAACAAATTACATAGCTTCCCCCTCCAAAGTAATCCCTCTCGAGTTTAATGCACTTTTCCACCCTTCTCTGACAGACTTCTATGCACTGCTGGAACGATTCTTCTTGGGTGCCCTCAGCTCCCTCGTTACGGCCCTCTTGACGGCATCTACGCTTTCAAACTGAGTCCCATTGATGATCTCCTTGAGACTGGGGTAAAGAAAAACGTCACAAGGAGCAAGATCAGGTGAATAGGGAGGTTTTTTTCAGTACGGCGACGTTGTAGGCCATGAACTGCCGGATGCTCAGGGCATTGTGAAATTCGTGGTGAATCAGCTACGATTTTGTCCTGCCACAAAAACATGTGAAAAAAAATGCAATGGTTGCGACGATTACAGATATATACTTTCAAGATATCATCTTAGATGATAACACAATCCGTTTATACCACTTTCGTCCATAACTCACACACAGTCCCGTTACTTTTCAGGCAGAAATCGTACACTTAAGTTTCATAATAATCATGCAGGCGATATAATCAGTTTGATAGAGCCCATCGCCAAATGCTTAAGATGAAATCAATTCAGGTGCGTGAGTTTGTGGGCATTTACTTACTAGTCAGATTAAACAAAATTGCGGCTCGTCGCAAATCTACTTTAAGAATTTTAAATGAAAAGATTAGATTATGCAAAAGCGTTTAACAAAGTACATTACAAAAACCCAAGCAAAGAATCAAGAAACATAATTTTTTGCAGTGAGTTTCACCCTGTTCAAGGCCCGGGGGCCTCTCGAGGTAGAAGGTTACGGAGTAAGAGGATAAGAGGGGAAGATAACGGCTAACCCTAGACTTGAACAGGTTAAGATTGTAGTGATCAGGGAAACATCATCTTGGGAGCCTGTTCGCAGGAAGAAGCTGCTCGAGTGGAACTTACTTCTCACCGATGGAATACGGAAGAAATATGGGTGGTTCGCTACAATGTGCGTAGAATGGTGGGTCCTGGTCGTGATGGTTAGAACTAGTGGGATTAAGGAATATAGTTTACCTAAGCACTTTCCATGGAAACAGCAATAGAGCAGTAAGAGGCTTGCGACATTTCCGATGTGAGAGAGGGATTGCAGGGTGGAAAATAAGTTTTCACCCACAAGAACGCAGAGACGCTTTTGGATTCTATTGAGACTGGAAAGTGAGGACTGGGCAGCCCCTGTCCAAATATGACAACCGTATTCTATTTTCGGCCTGATCAGGCTCATGTAATGTTAGAGTATAGCACGAGGAGTCAGACACATACTGGTGCGGTACAGGGAACCTACCATTTTTCCTGCATCTCTAACAATGGATCGTATGTACGAGTTCTACTTGAGGTCTGAGTTTAAGGTCCAATAATCTCTCAAGGCATGGAGCCTCCCCTAGAGGACATCCAACAATCTAGACCGGTGGTAGTTCGGTGTCCGTTCAGCGATGATGATGGAATGTAACTAGTTTGGTTTTCGAGATATGAAATGTAACCAACCACTTTTCCTCCACTGAGTTGTTAGAGCTAGATCGGATGAGAGATCAGCTGCCACTCTCTGCTCATCACGTTTTTTTTTTGGATGTACACGCATATACCGTTGTAAAGATTTTCTAAGCGTAGCTTAGATGTGGCACAAGGCCGAAAGCATGGGACATCCAGTGAGGATCGAACTCACTTTTCAGTAGTAACTGACCTAGAAAGACAAGCTTGCTAACCATTACACCACGCCGAGTTGCCCAACGATCTTCCAAGCGTAACTCAGATGTGGCACAAGGCCGAAAGTATGGGACACCCAGTGAGGATCGAACTCACTACTCAGTCGTAATTAATCTAGCGAGACAAGCTTGCTAACCATTACACCGCCTCGAGATGCCCCCCCCCAATATACCGTTGTAACATCGGCATATATATTCACAAATGATCTGTGTATACACTTATGTAGATCATTTATGTAAAGTATACAGGAATCGCATACACACAATTCTTGGTCAGTTTCTGCCCCGTGTTTCCTCGAAACGTCTGTGAAAAATTCATGAACCAACGCTTTAATCCACTAGGTTATTGTCGCGTAGGACAATTCTCTGTGGTGATGAATGCTGCTACAGCTGCTGCTGCTACGGCTGCTGCTGCCACGGCTGCTGCTGCCACGGCTGCTGCTGCTGCCACGACTGCTGTTGCTACAGCTGCTGCTGCTACGGCTGCTGCTGCCACGGCTGCTGCTGCTGCCACGACTGCTGCTGCTACGGCTGCTGCTGCGTTGAAGACTTGCTGACACTTATCTTAGTGAATTTGGTGACATAGCGATCACGAGTTCAATCCCTAGGCTGGGTAGTGTGTACTTGTACTCAATGAAAAACAGGCGAGCAATAACCGAACTAAAAATAAGATCAAGACGAGATATCCCAAGACATGGATAGTGGAACAAGAACAGTCTACCCCGTCCGATTAGTTTACCCAGATCTATATACATCGAATACGGCCCGGAGGGGAACCAGGACCGAGACGTTGTGATAGCGACAATAAAAATGGGGACAATAGTCCGAATATAAATAGTGTTAATAAGAAGAATATTAACGGAAATAGATGATAAAAAAATGTAACCTGGTTCCATCCACATCCAAGTGATTGAAAAGCAGAGTAAGGACTTTGTTTATTAACTTAATCAAGAGGGACTTCCCACAAGGACAGCATGCTAAATAAGATATTGAACAGAAATCCAATCAAATTGAGTTATAGATATACTGAAAACATGATGCAGTTGATAAAGAAACATAATCATAAATTGCTGTTCAAGGCCATGATTACTAATCTGCTCCACTTGCAACTGTAGACGCAAGCACGATTGTCCTTTCGGGGGAGAATATCTACAGAAAAATGGTATATAATAAGCCACAGTAAAGGTGGACGGTGAACCAGGCGTGATTTTTTTAGAAGCGACCGATTGTTTTTGGAAAGAAAAGTGTTAAAACCATATAAACTCTTTCAATATTACATAGTACAAAAACACATTATACTGTTCAAATATGTATGGAAATATGTCATTTTTTATTATATTACATTGGATTTGTTTTCAGTTACCCGTCGCACCATATATATATATATATATATATATATATATATATATAATTAAAACGAAAGATGCTTCATGTGTGCTTCTTATAATATGTAGATTTAATAGGCCTGTTAATGAAATTTGTTGAATAAAAAGACAACAAAATGATAACTATTGATGATATTTGTTATATATTAGTAGGCCTTTTGACTAAATTGAAGCATGAAGAGAAAGATTTTAAAGCCAAAATTTTAGGACAAGACAGTGTCCTTTTTCAACGAGACGAGAAATCAACAAAGAAGTGTGACACATTCTTAAGGGGAATGTTGTTTTCGTTGGTTAGCGGGCTCCCTGCGGAAACTATATTCCCTAAGTAAACCCAAATCCCTGTTTAATCCTTTAATATGTGATTCTATTTTGAAAATGTATTCTAAATCTGATCTGCGTCTCAAATAAAGACGCTAAAGCATCTGATGTCATCAATGCAATGGAACGGTTGGTTGAAGTGCGCAGCGACAGGAAAATTGTTGTTGTTGTCTTTGATGTTTTTATAGTTATTGAACCGAAAACGGAATTACGTGCCTGTTTCTTCAACATGATTTCTGTCTTTTGCATTTGTGGTAGAAAAATAAATATATATAAATCAGAGGCGGTTGTTTGAATATTGTGTAAGTGCCAGGTGGTATCTTATTTACATATATATATATATATATATATATATATATATATATATATATATATATATATATATATAAATGTAAAACAACCAAAAATATAAATTCAAAAGTTCATAACATTAATTTGAAAAAGGGGTCAGTACAAGAGTAGACTAATAAATATTTATTATAAACTGTTACATTGGAAGATGCATTTTGTCCGACAAAATGTAACAGTTTGTAATATATATATATATATATATATATATATATATATATATATATATATATATATATATTAGGTAACAAGTAACTAAGCTTGATCAAAAGGAATACAGAGTCTGACTATTTTTTTTACTATATTTTTCCTATTTTCTGATGAGTATTGTGCTCGAAGTTGTGGATAAAATGTCCAAAGTTCAGGTTTTGTTATTTTTGTTCAAGTACTTTTGACTTTCGCTGTCATTATCAAGTAACGATCTGGTGTCTGTGTGGTAGTTAGAATTCCTTTGTTTACATCCTGGTATTCTTTGGGAAAATGAACATTTGAAATGGTCTAGCAGGACGACATATGTTAACGACTATCGGGAACGTAGTCGCACAAAAAGTATGCGAATTATTTATTTTATTAATTAATTAATATTTTTTTTATTTTTTAATATGATATGTACGCACATTAATTATATTATACGAACTTCAAGATACTATCTCCTGTAGTAAATTCTATTTTATTTATTGTGGTTTGTTTATTTTGTTTGATCGTAACTTCTAGACTTTTGAGTCTTTCCTTGCAATGAGTACTGTAGAGTATTTTTTTGTGTTATCTACTAATATTTGTCTTATGTTGATAGTTGTATGTTGGTTGATGTGTGCAGGGATTGCACTGAGATACGGCCTCGTTCCCAATAGCTATGGGTAAATAGTTGGACAGCCCTATAACCCTGGTTTAAAACCTCCAACTAGGGGCTAAATAGCCTCATCAACCCTCACTTGGCCGAGTGTATTGAAGACAGGGAGGGAGGTTCCTCCTCGGTTGGGAGAAGGCCCTCGATTTGGATCTAGATCCGTTCGAGTAAACTTCCATTCCTGGTACCTACCTCCTGCAAAAAATAAAAAATAAAAATAAATGTTTCTTCCTGGAATCTATATTATCATAATGCATGATGATGACAATGACGGTGGAAGTAATCCAGTGACTTGACCCAAAGAGTTGTGAGTTCAATTCCTGACTACAGCAGAGGTGAACATAAACTTGGAGAGGTGAGTTATTAAACCCAATTTTATGAAACTGAGATATCCAGAAAAGGCATGGCACGTGGAACTAGATGGACTACCCTGATGGACTAAATAAAGGATTCGGTTTGAAATTCCAGCGTATATCACCTGAAGAAGGCCAGTGCGTACAACGGCCGAAACGTTATGAATATGACAATGAAGTTGACGACAACAGTCCGTAAAATAGCGTAAATAATTACAATACAATCTGAAATATATACGTGTGTGTGTGTGTGTGTGTGTGTGTGTGTGTGTGTGTGTGTGTGTGTGTACGTGCGTGTGTGTACGTAGCACCATATCGATTATACCAATTTCTGTATCTGGGGTATGACGTTCACTCTACAACTTTGGTGGAATAAAGGATAGCGGCTTGGATTGAGGAATCGGATAGCCGAGTTCGAATTCCAGTCGAATCCATTACATTCACTTACGTATTGCTAATACCCTTGGGAAAGTTGTGAATCCTCTTCTCCCTACAGCCATGGGTAAATAGCAGGACAGACTGGATTCTATAGCCTTGGATAGCAACTGGTTGAGAAGAAGGACAATTCTGAATTCAAAACCTGCGGAAGGTCGGTTGGGGACCTTGTGACACGTAGTGCACCAGGTCTCTGTATTCGGCCCTTCAAATGTGGATCTTTTATTTGAAGTAGTATGAAACATCATCGTCTTGATCCTTTCATAATTTTCTCTCCGACTCACATGTATTATCCATTCAAGTTGTTGCTGTTGAAAGCCCTCAAGAGGTATGGTTCCAATTATTGGCAACAGATCTTCTATGGCGCCAGTCCACAAGGTTTTGAAATAGGATAGTTCTCGCTGAGGAGTTAACAAAAATCTCAACAATTGAATTGAAATTTGCCTCAAGCTGACCTTGGGTTGCTCACAATATATATGTCTCTTATTACAATTAATATTTACTCCTTACGAATTTAGAAATTCTTGATAAAATACAAAGAAAAATCAACAATATTATTGGCATCTCGGCTTCAGTCACTTTTCCACTACCATGACGTAGCTTCCCTGTGCCTTTTCTATAAATACATGCATGGTAAATGTTGTTATTAACTTTTCTTTCATTGTAAATATTCATTGGGGTTGCATTTTTAAATGCTGTTATTTTATTCCCCAACCCCACATACAAATTGTATATATGGGAACTAGTTTGGACTACATAGAGTCTTGAGGTATTATGGTAACTGTAGTAAGAATGGTAATAAGAATGTGTTGTTTTGCTGTAAGGAATACTGTGGCATGTTTGAGTCAGTAATCGTGGCTAACTAAGTTTAACTCCCTTTTTTGGCCTTGTGTCACATTTTTTTAGTATATCAAAATAAATATTATTTTCCTCTATAAATAGGATTGTTTAGGTTTGTTTTTATCCTTAGTTGCTTCCATCAAGTTAACTTAGCTAGGGAATGTATGCTCATTGGCCTTTTTTTTCTTCTGTCACCACTTGCTTTAGGTTAATTCCCCCTCCTTTGTTAGGTGACAGAAATGCAGGGCGCTTTTCGTTTTTTGACTGTGCATTTCGTATTTGTTTTTGTGTCTGGGTGAGTGTGTGTTTGAATGAATGTTTAGTCGAATTATTGTTCTTAATTACCTAATCCTGCATTAATTTCGTCCAGTTAAACAATTTTTCTGCCACAATTAAGGACTGTGGGGTTTTACGTGATAATACCCTTGAGAAAGGTATGAATCGTCGTCTTCTCTCCCCAGCTATAGATAAATAGTAGGACAGACCGGGTTCTATAGCCTTGGATAGCAACTGGTCTACCACAGAAAGAAATGGCAACCTCCTGTGGGGAAAAAATTTTGCCTCGTCAGTCATCACGCATGGCACATAACTGATACCTCTAATTGTATTTGTGATGGTGGCTGCTAAAATACTATATAAGAAACCTTTTTCCGAATCTACAATATTTGGACTCGTATTCATTTTCGGCCGTTGGTTGAAATCTTCCGGATTTCTCAGTTATTTCCCTTTAACTGAACTCTCCAAGTTTTTTGGTTCACCACTGCTGTAACCTGGTATTGAACTCACAACTCTTTGGGTCTAATCACTGGATCTAACCAACGCCTTATCCCACTGAGCCATTGTGAATATGGTAATGAAGATTGGGATAACAGATAATGGTAATACGTCATGTCAGAGATATAGACAGAAACCTTTTTCATAATCACAATTCCAACCACACTAATTATCGAAAGATACATGATCGCCTAAACGTGTATCACGCATGGCACATGACTGACTAGGGATGGAGGTTATTACTAACACTATTTTGT